TAGAGAGAACTGGAATGACAAACCGCAGTTCAGCAATTCTCCAACGTGCTGAGGGACTTCTAGGTGACTCTGAGATTTTGTCATTCTAATAATGGTGCAATTTTTCTAGAGCCTACATGATAAGTGATACTTGAGAATTCAGGAGAATTGTGAATCTAGCTGTATTCTATTAAGACAGAATTAAAGAGATTTGTGAAAATGTAACATTTCATTTTCAGTACTTTTATTTTGGAAAAATATTTATCAAAATGCTGGTTGTCAGCATGAGTTTATTATTTTAAAGTAATTAACTATTTAATTAACTTTGATTTCCAAATGCAAATATTGATAGCCCAATAAACGAAACTCTTTGAAGTTTCAGTTTTAAAAGTGTGAAGGAATTCTAAGACCAAAAAGTTTGACAACTGCTGCAATTATTATATGCTAAAGATATAATTAAGATAGTCAAATTTACCAAAATACCTAAGCCCCCAATTCTATACATTTTTCTATTACAGCAGGAAAACGGAGGTAATTATCCATTTTATGCTTTTTAAATACAATTATTTTTTGGAATAAGCATTGTTTAACAAGCCCCCTGGTGATACTAATGCACCTAAATTTAGAAAATTACCATCAAAAGCAAAAGGAAAATTTCTTAAAGGGTTTTAGAAAATGGCAATTGTTATTTCTGAAAGCACTGAATGAAGAAGGAACACCTGGATCCTTTTTTTTTTTTTTTTTTGCGGTGCTGAGAATCAAATCGAGGGCCTTGCACACGCTAAGCAAGTGCTCTACCACTAGCTCTATCCAACCCTTTACCTCTGTACGATTCAAATTTTCACATCTCCCAATAAGGTTGTCTTTAATGCCTTTGTGGCTATGTCAGTCTGGGTTTCATGCATTCCACAGTTTAGAAACCTTCAGTCGTTTCCACTGAGTTTCATGTGAAGTCAAATTCATTACCTTGGCTCATAGGCTGGTAAAACTCGGAGCCAAGTCTCTGGCCTCATCTCTCTCCCTTCGTATCTTGCTTGTATCCTCTAGCTGCAGGGGCCTTTTTCTTTTCCTTCACTGCTAAGTCTGTTCCCATTTCGGGCTTTGAATTGGCTATTTAGTGCCTCTGCTGGAATGCCGTACTCCAGATCTTTATAAGTTTATTGCTCCCTTGCTTCGTTCCGTTCCCTATCTGTGCAAATTTTTCAAAGCACTCAACTACCATCTCAGGTAATCCGGCTTTGTTAACTTGCATATGGTCTACTTCGTCCACCAAAATGCAGTGACTTGTGAGCAGGGCGCGAGGACAGCGCTAGCGGGTATTTGGCTTACTAAATGTTCAATCAATGACCAAACTCATAAGCTCACTTCAAAACGAGGGCAGCTATCCCAACTCCTTCACATCCGGCCCCGACTCACTAACTACTGACCAGCGTTCAGCACCCTCAGCACTCCTTGAGGATACCGCTTCCAAGCCTCACTCACCGAACCGGAGCCGGGTTCCTTCCGCCCGAGCAGATGCATGACCCGGATGTGTTGTCAGGCAGGCGCGCCCGCCCCCGAGCTCAGAGAGTACTTCCGGGGCAATAGGAGAGGTGCGTCAGCGGTGGCAGCTGTGGTGAGGGTGGCGGCTAGCTGAGTGGGGGCTACCCGAGTGAGACGGGGGCTACCCGAGTGACACGGGTGCAAGGTTTAGTAGTCGGTCCCCGCCGCCGAGGTCGCTAGGGCGGGGAAGAGGCTGCCCACCGTGGGGCTGTGAAAGCGCTTTGGTAATTGAAGCGCTGTGTTTTTGTGAGGCGTTCTGGTCCTTGTCGTGTCAGCGCTTAGGGTCGCTTGTTGACACAGAGCTCGGGTTTGGGACCACTGCTTTTGGATGTGGGAAGAGGTGAGAAGCTTGTTTGTCCACCGGAGACAGCCATATTATGAGCGTCAGTAAGGATACAGACCACAAACGCTAGCAGCCGCGGTTGAATCTGCGTTGCGAGCCCCGCGCGGACCTCGCGCTAACCGGGTGGGAGCGGGTGGCCGTGCAAGTTGTATGCTTTACTTTTCTTAAAAATGCGGGTCACTTAATTTTCTGGTATCTCTCCCTTCTAATTTATGAATTAAACACACACCACAAAACCCCTGGAAAACTTACAAAAAACATTAAATTGCGCGATTCCATGTACTCGGTGCATTTAGCTTTGCTTTTGCCGCTAGATTATGAATCCGTTGAGAACAGCCTTCCTAGTAATAATAATATAAACAGCCATCACCACAAAACAGTTCTCTTCCTGCCTAGCCTAAATTCCTGGCACATTCTACATGCTCATTAAATCTTTGGTCCTTGTTGCATAAATGAAAGAACAGGGATAAACCAGTGTTTAGTATTTTGGGTATGACATGGTCTTTTATAAAATTATATGAATTTATGCAGTAAGTTTATTATATACAAAGTACATATAGTTACTACTATTGTTTTGTGTTGAACCTGGAAAGAGCGCAAGGAACACAGTAAAAAAAAAAAAACCAACACATACTTATTCATCTACAAAACATTGAACTTTGTACACAAACTGTGTGTTATTTCCTATTACGTAAGAGTGGCGCAGACGTTGCCTTAATGTTATCTCTAGAGCTTGGTACATGGTGGAATGGAAAAGATGTTTGCCATGAGAGAATGAGTACTTCTAAGTTGGATTGTTCTATGTTGGTAGTTGTATTTAGATTCTTTTTCTCTCTGAATTTTTGGGAATGTATTATATATCTGTATATCTGTGTATCTTATACCCACATAGTCTTGGCTCCTTGGTGTTGTCTTAACACATCTTCTAGTTTCATGCCTCCTATTGTTTTTCTCCCTGATAAATTAACTCACATACTGACTGCATCACTTTACTTATTCCTTTGAGCTTTTCTGTGTGTTTTGTACCCTTGAATTTCTCATTAGCATTTTTATCTGTCAAAATCCTACAGACCCTTAGGGCAGGTGTTGAAAGCTCAGTGTTTGTGGGACTAATCAGGTTAACCTAAGTGAATTAAGTGGATTTGAGTGGAGATTGCAGGGTATGGGAGAGCAGTGCCCTAAAAGTCCAATTGCTGTTTGGCATGAGGTAGTTACTACCCAGTCAAATATGGGCCCCATGTTACCACATTTTCAACCTCCCAAGGGAGGTTGGGAACTTGTATTTTTATATGAAGACTGATTCCCACCTTCCACCCCCACTTGCTAGGCTGGTGCTGTACTACTTACGCTACAACCTCAGCCCTGAAGATTGAATTTTAAATTAGTAACTAGTTTTAAAAGTTTTGAACACAGGCCAATTAAAAACATCTGTAGGAAGTATTTGCCATTCAGATTTCCAGTTTGAGACCACTGCTGTAGGTTCTTATTTCAGTTACTTTATGTATGAATCAAATTCCCTGATTCAAACGGACGGCTTCTGTTCTTTTAGCATTTTTGTGTATTTCAATTATAATGCAGTGCCTGTCTTAGTTCTTAATATGTCTTCCTTCATTTTGATGCCATGCATCTATGCTGTACTTAGTACATATTGTGTAAAATATATTATACATACCTAAGGCATGTGTATATATGTATATGTGAGATACTTATTTCTTCTCTGGTGTTAATTGGTTATCCTGTAAACTATATATGCTCTTTGTAGAGTACCAATAGGATATTAACTTCAATTGCAGTCTCTGCTTCTGGAAAGAATTGAATTGGGTATACTGCTATTAAAAAACTGATCTGAGGGGCCAATGGTGTAGCTCAGTGGTAGAGCCCTTGTCTAGTATGTGTGAGGCCCTGGATTCTATTCCGAGCACTGCAAAATTAAATAAGAAATATAATTCGGTAATTTCTCTGTTACATCAAATGATCCAATACCAATACAATGTTGGTGTATTTACAATGAATATTAATTTTAAAAGGCTCGGCTTGGTGTTGCATGCTTGTAATCACAGATATTTGAGATGCACAGGTAGGAGGATCACACTCTTGAGACCTGCCTGGGCAAAAGCATGAAACCCTATCTTAGAAAACAAATTAAAGCAAAAGGATTGGGATTGTACTTTAAGTGGTAGGTACTCCGAGTTCAATCCTAGTACTACAAAAAAAATAGTCTGACAAAATGATTTTTGATGGCTTAAGTAATCACATCTGAAAAAATTGAGGTTGAAGTAATTTATATAACTTTGAGGACAGCCAGTGAAAGGAAAAATTGATAAAAAAAAGGACCTCATCAAAGTGAAAACTTGCTTGGTAAAAGGCCCTGTGGAGACAATGGAAAGATAAGCTATAGACTGGGATAAAATATTTGCAAACCCCACATTAGAGGACTTGAATGTAGAATATATGAAGAGATCTTAAAACTCAACAGAAAAAAATATGAGAAAATGAGCAAAAGATACAAATAGATATTTTACCAAAGAGGATAATCAGATGGCAAATAAGCACAGGAAAAGATGCCCAGCATCATTAGCCATTAGAGAATTGCAACTTAAGTTGCATTAAGCCACAGTAAGATATTACCACATACCTATCAAAATGGCTCAACCAAAAAAGAGTGACAACACAAAAGCTGGTCAGAATATAGAGAAACTTGATCATTTATACATTATAGGTAGGAAAGTAAAATGGTATACTACATAGGAAAAGAGTATGACAGTGTCATGTAAAGCTAAACATACATTTAGTATGTTTATATGACTATACTATATGACTCAGTGATTATACTTAATCATTTTTTCCAGAGAAAAGAAAGCTTATGTTCACATAAAAACCTGTATATGAACTTTCATAGTTATTTTATTTATGTAATAATCCCAGACTGAAATTAGCACACATTAAACTTCAGTGGGTAAATCGTTAAATTTGATACATTCATACCATGAAATACTACTCTGAAATAATAAGGACTTTTAATACAACAAAAGTGGATCTGGAGGGACTTAGGCTGAGTTTAAACAAAAGTTATTCTCAAAAGGTAACATTGAATGATTTCATTTATATGTCTTGAAATGACAATTTCGGAGACAGAAAACAGATCGGCAATTGGTTGCCTTGAACTGGAAGAAGTGCTGGTAAGTGTTTGTAACTAAAAAAGGGTAACACGGGATCCTCACAATTGAATTGTGTTGTGTGTTGACTGTAGGTGACGAGAATGTATGGAGTTGGCCCTCCATATTCATGGGTTCCACATCTGCAGATTCAGCCAACTGCAGATCGAAAATATTTGGAAAAAAAATTTCATCTGTACTGAAATTGTACAGACTTTCTTCTAGTCAGTGTTCCCTAAATAATTTAACAACTACGTGCATAGCATTTACATTGTATTAGGTATTACAAATAGTTTAGAGATGATGAAAGTATATGAGAGGATGTACATAGGCTATATGCAGATTCTACACCATTTTGTATAGGGAACTTGATCATCACATAGTTTGTCAGCCAGGGTCCTGGAACCAATTCCTTGTGGATACCAAGGAATAATTCTGTGGGGTAAAACTAATTTACAAACAAATGAGTGCCTGTAAAATTGGTAAAATTTGAATGAGATTGATGGGTTATATCAATATCAGTTTTTTCCTTGGGAGTGAAGTTTGAACTCAGGACTCTGAGCTTGCAAAGCAGGCACTCTACTGCTTGAGCCACACCTCCAGCTCATTTTGTTTTGGTTATTTTGGAGATGGGGTCTTGGATATTATTTGCCTGGAATGCCTTGAACTGTGATTCCCCTTGATCTCAGCCTCCAAGTAGCTAGGATTATAGTTGTGAGCCATAGGCACCAAGCATTGTCAGTTTCTTGATCATGATATTATACTGCAGTTAGGAAAGTTGTTAATGGGGGAAAATGGGTGAAGTTATGTGGGGTCTTTCTGTATTGTTGTACCTGCATGTGCATCTATGAAAATCTCAAAAAGGCATTAAATAATTTATACCAAAATACTATCTAAATAATTTTGGGGGGCTTTTATTTCACCAGGTGATGTTCTAATCATGTCAGATAAAGATGGTATTGAGACACCAGTGGTAACTGAAGCAAACTTCATCCATGAAGATGGAAACTGTGAGCCAGCTGAGAATTCTGAGTCTGTTGACCAAAGTGCCAAGCCAGAGAGTAAATCAGAACCTGTAGTGTCTACTCGGAAAAGACCAGAGGTCAAACCTTCCAGTGACCTTGAGACTTCAAAAGTTCTCGCTGCTCAGGTATCATAGGCTGCTGCCAAAGTAGAGTATCTATTAAAATATTGAGATTTAGAAATGTTGGGGTTAAAAGAGATTTGGGATCAGTACTAATTTAGGATTGCATTTATTTCCTTCTTACAATTTTTCTCAGTTCTATAAGTGCCTTCATAAGTAATTAGCTTTGCTACATAGTGGATACGTGATGATAACTTAACATCTGTCAGTCAAGCAAAGTATTTTTTAGCCAATGTGTATTTTTGTTCACCCATACTTTGTTTAATAAATAGATACCTTATCTGTACACGCTGATTTTCCTCTAACTTTTCTATTTTCTTGTGTCTTTTTTTTCTCTTACTGGGAACAATAGGAGGCTGTTTCCAAAGATGTACCGCAGACCAGTTGGGGCTACTGGGGCAGCTGGGGCAAGTCCTTACTCTCCTCAGCCTCAGCTACAGTAGCCACAGTGGGTAAGGTCATCAGTGGTTTCATTATTTTTTGTGTGCATTTTCTATAGGTTTGTATAATAAATGACTTGTTAATTTTTCCTGCTGTGTTTATTCAAAAGCTGTATCATTTGAAGATGACTGGTAGTGATGGGCTGATATACTGCCCATCAATATCAGTTTTTTTTTCAACATAATTTGCTGTAAAAAATTTGCAGCATTTTCTTGTTAGAAAATTGAAGTTTGGGAATTGTTATATAAGCCTATTCTTTGGTGATGATGAATTTGTATTTTTTAAAAGTGTAGTATAATACTTATTTCCAAGAAATAATATTTTGTCACAGGCTTCTGAATTAGTTCAATTGGTCCTAATAAAATCTTTTTTAAAAAATTTATTTTTTATTGTTGTGCCAGTTGGGGGTACATTGTAGCATTTACAAAGGTTCTTACAATGTATCAAATAAATCATACTTGAATTCACCCCTTCCACTGCTGTCTTCCATCCCCTCTCCTCTTATTTCTTGTTTTGTTTTGTTTTAGTAAGGGGATAGTCTGAAGGATTAGTTATATGTTGTTAAAACATGTCTTGTAGCCATAATAATTTGAAAAATATATGCAAGCTTAATTTTTTGGTTGTTTTTTTTCAGTTTTGGTAACAAAAAGCAAAAAAAAAATTAATCATTTTTCTCACTAGGACAAAGTATTTCAAATGTCATTGAAAAGGCAGAGACTTCCCTAGGAATTCCTAATCCCAATGAAATTTCAACTGAAGTCACGCATGCAGGAGGTCAGTATATAGAAACATTAAGACCCAGAAGTTTGGACTGAAATGGAACAATGAGCTCATTTTCTCAGATGCTTAGTGAACATCTAATACTTAGGACATCATGGGGCTGGTGAGAAAAGAGGATTTGGAATCTTTAGCTGTCATGTAGAAGTCTGGTATCTCTTCACTTTCTGCATCTGTGAAGTAAACATCAAGTAATAAGGCCATGAATGTAGGCTATGAGTATTGCTTAACATTTTGCTTGGCATAATTGAGTAAGCAACAAATAAGAGTTAGCTGGATTTGAATCTATCACATTAAAAGAAAGAATATTTTCATGTGTTAGTTTGGGCTTTTTTTTTGGTTTTTGTGAAGTTTTATTCTTAGAGGTTTGTCTTGATCAAAGGGAAACCTCTATAAAGAACATAGTTATCACTTGAGATCAGGAAGGTCTGGGACTAGAAAATAGAAAGTTTTTAAAGACCTGATTTGCTTTCTTGATATTTTAGAGGCATTATTGTCTCTCATTGTTGGGACTTTTTGCCTGTCTATATAATTTTTCTTTAAGCAGACTGACTTTGCTTATCTTTCCCAGCTCCAACTTTATATTGAATCCTGGTGTACATGCCCTTCAGAGACCAAACGGCACCAGTTATTTCCATTTCTGATTTTTCTAAGAGACAGAATTAGATTGGTTTAACCTTGTCACTTGTCCATGGGTCAGTGTACAGGAGACAGGAACACATTTTGAAGACATGGCTACAAAGGACTGTGTATATGAATTTGAGGCACAGTTCTTAGTGATGCCTGCATTAGTTAGACTACTTCAGCTGCAACTAACAGAATATGTGAAGAAAAATGAGTATTTTTCTCACTCAAGAACTCCAGAAGTAGGCTGTTGCAGTGATAGTTTGTGATGTTAGAGGTCTGTGTTGGCTTCTCTCCAGTTTTCTTTGTTGGATTTTTCAGTGTTTGCCAGATTATACTGCAGGTGCAAGTATATGTTCTAAAACAGATATACTCAGATTCAGGAATTAAGTGGACAGGCAGTGTCATTTCTCCTAATGCATTTTTTTCCCTTTAAAGAAAGCAAACTTTTTCCTAGCAGCCCCCAGCATATTTCTTCTCAGATGCCATTGTCTAGAATAGGGTCTTAAGTTTATGCTATAACAACAAGAGATACTGGGAGAGGAAGTTGTGGGCCTTATCGGAAACTTCCATATCAGGAGTTGGATTTAGCAGGCAAGGAAAGGGAGTGGTAGAAGTGGCTTTGAATATGTAAACAGTATTGTCTTCATAAATACTTGAAGAATGTCTGCCACCCAGGGCCATGTTTTCAGAAGGGCACTGGAAAGCTAGAATTAATGAGATATCTAAAATTAGGCTCTTAAAAAGTTAGAGGCAAATTATGCATATTGAATATGAAAATCTAAGAAAGGGAGATTGGGAGAATATGCTGGTTCTTTTATATCTCAGGAGACTAGCATGGAGCAATAGGTTTAGGTTTATTATTTGTTGCCCATGGGGGAGAGACCTTATAACAATCAGTGGAGGTTATATGGATTTATAATGAGTTTAATAATGAGAACTTTTCTAGATTATAATCGATTGCTTTTTGATAAGTCCTTCCATCTTCTGAAGTTCCTAAGGAGGAAGGTTAATATCACTGCCAAGGGTATGGATATTGTAGCCAAGATGTGTCTTCTCAGAATTTTGAGGTTAGTAGAGGCTACCAGTGAAAATCATTCGGTCATCTTGTAGGGATTTTTGTCATGTTCCTTTAAGGATGTTGTCTTCTGTTTTCCTTTTTTGGCGGTTAGTTACAGTAGCTTAGATTGATACTTGTAAGACATTACTAAGGTTGTTTATAGTGAGTTTATAGAAGCCTTTGCTGGAAGGACTGGTTTATCTCTACTGCTGAGGCCTGACTCTTCTGAAAGCTCTACCTAATCTCCAGGTGTTTACCTCATTGGCCGAAAATCAGATGTTTCAGCCTAGCATGAGCTCTAAGGATTGTTTAGCTTACTACTCCATAGTAGTTCTTTTTCCAGGCTTATGGAATCTTCTAGTACCTGAGCCATATAGGGTTCAGCCAAAGACACAAGGGCATTCTTGTGTAGGTTCTTGGAACTTTTTACTTATATAGCTGCATCCTATAAGTTTTACCACTTGCAAATTGTAGATGTTTCATCCTCTGATTCTAGTCTTTGCTGTGATTCCATTCATTGTCATTGCTCTGCTCTGTTTGGGTGTCTCTTCCTTGTGTTGTGGTTTGGAAAGTTTCTGTAGACAGTAAGACAACTAGGTTGTAGGGGCTACTTTGTTCCTCTTTTTTCCTGGACCAAAGTCTTGTACTGCCTCTTTTTTTTTTTCAGTCACTTCTCGGCCTTTTGGCTAAAATCAGGTGTAGCAACAGTTGTTAGTTTTTACATTTTATGCAAATGCTTCACTTATCTGCCAGCAGGAATACAATTTTGGGTTGTCACCATCCATCTCACTCATTGTTCTCTTGGGGCCTTGTGGGCAGCATCTCTCCTTACATTTGTTCCTTTCTGCTTCATGAGTGCTCAGAGAGGTCTAGGAAGGAGGCAGTGGATGTGGTCAGAGGAGGCAGCACTGTAGGATGGTGCATGGGAGACAGCTACAGCAAGTCTCCTGTGAGCAGCAGCCCCACCTGCCGCCTTCTTTCCAGAAAGCCCTTAGCACTTCAGTCTACGTGGACTTCTCATTTTTTTCTCCTCCTTTAGTATGGGGCCATTCTTCATATGGGACCTTTTTCTCCTTGTGGAAATCACTTCATCACCCCATAGTTTGCTTCTCTAGTATTAATTTTTGTTTAAGTGGGACTGGGGTTTGAACTCAGAGCCTCATGCTTGCAAGGCAAGCACTTTAATCACTTGAGCCACTCCAATAGCCCTTGTACTGCTTCTTGTCCAATGTCTGAAAATAGTTGTTTCTTTTATTTGCTCAGTTTTTTAGTTGCTCTGGTAGGGCAAGTCAAATACAAGTTAATTTATAATACTTGAAAGCAAGTCTTCTCTATAATGAGTATTTGATATAATGTATTAGATTATTTGATAGACTAGTTGATCTCTTGTAAGATTTTTAAAGTTAAAACATTTTTTAAAAATATATCCATCTTTGTAATACTTACTGGTTTGATCACTACTGAACATAATTTTCTAGGATAAAATTGAGTTATAATTTATATACAGTAAGAGTTACTAGTTTTAACTGTATAATTTTTTGTGTTTTGAGAGATACAGTTATATTTTACTGTATAATCCTAGTATGTTGTGATACACAAATATTGAATAGTTTCTAAATCTAATAATTGAGATAGTTTTATCACTACCCAAAAAAGTTCCTTCATGCCCTTTGTAGTCACACTGCCTTTGTCAACCACTGATCTGTTTTCTGACCCTATACTTTTCCCTCATCCAGAAGATGATATCACTGAAATTGTTTACTATATATAGTTTAGTAGTTTAACAAATTAGATTTTATTTTTGAAATGAAAATTTAAAAAGCTGCCTATTTTAACTTTCATTTTAAGATAGTCAAATGACTTAGAATAATGTACAAAAAGGCCTAAGGCCTGTGTATAGGAAAGTAGGATCTAAATTTTTAAAAATATAGTTACTAATAAAGCAAAATGATTAATGAACTTTCTTTTATGCTTATTTATCCTATACTTTTTGTAGGAGAAACAAATTCCAAAGAGAATGAAAACTCTTCACAAGTGACTGGGCCATTTGGTGTATTATCAACTATCTCTACCGCTGTTCAGAGCACTGTGAGTAAAAAAGTGCAAGGTACCCTGCTCCCTTTAGTTATTATAATGGATTTCTGTGTTTTTTTCTTTTCCTTGAAAAGCCATGGGATTGATTACTCTTAAGGGAGTCTAAAGCACTGACAGTCAATCTTAGCAGTAGAGTAAGAGCTATGTGAAAACTTTCTCTAAAGAAACAAAGAAAGGGAGCTGAAGATACGGCTAAAGTGGTGGAATCCCCCCCCCCCCCCCCGGCAAAAAAAGAGCCTAATCAAGTGAAAGAAGAGTTATAGAGAGGCAATGTACATAAGTATTCTGTGGACTTGAATTCTTAATTTAGTGGCCTTAGAAATGTTTCAGCTTTACAAAAATATTTTTCTCATAGTCATAATTATATCTTTTAAGCAGAGGGGAATAGTGATCTTTAAAAATGATAGATGCTTATAAAACTATGGATGGTTAGAAATACTTAAAAAAGGATAACATAGTACTTTATTTTTTAACTGTTCTTTTATCCTTTAAAAATTTTTTTTGATGGGGGGACAGTACTAGAACTTGAACTCAGAGCCTCCTGCTTGCTAGGCAAGTACTCTATCACTTGAGCTATATCCCCAGTCATTTTTTTAATTATATTTTTTTAAAAGAAGCAATTATTTCAGCTTATGGTTTCACAGGTGTCAGTCTATCATGGTGGGGAGAATGTGACAGAGCAGAATAGAGCACATTGTTTTTAGATAGGTTATTAGGCTTTTGCCTGGACCTGTGTTGGACTGTGTTCCTTTTACTTCTGCCTCCTGAGTAGCTGAGATTACAGGTGTGCACCATCATACCCATCCCATTTTTGATTCTTTTGAGATAGGATCTTACTATGTAGCTCAGGGTGTTCTTGAATTTCCTATATATGCCAGGCTGGCCTAAAACTCACAATACTGCCTCAGCCTCTTGAGTACTGGGATTATAGATGTGAACCATAACACAAGGCCCTATTTTAACTTTTTGAATAATAGTATACATATAGAAATGAAGTCTTAAGTGTTCAGTTTGAATTTTTACTGTAGAAACACATACAGACTAAGAAACATTGTGATGGGTCCATTGCTTTCCCTTCCCCTGACTTGTGCCATCTCCCCTATAATAACCGCAGGCTTGACTTCTATCACAGATTAATTTTACCTGCTTTTATACTTTATATAAGGTGTTTGGCTTCTTTCACACAACATTCTGTTTATAGAATTTGTCTATGTTGCAGTTTGTATGTATTTTCTTTGCTGTATTCTTTTGTATGACCATGTAACATTTTACTTATTCCACAGTTGTTAAGCATTGAAGTAGTTTCCAGTTTATAGCTATTATAAATATTGGTGCTATGAATATTCTTGTACATGTCTTCCTTCAGATGAACCTTTGTACACATTTTTGTTGGGTAAGTAACCATAAGTAGGATTGCTGGGTTATGCATCTGTAGTAGATATTGCCAACAGTTTTCCAAATTGGTTATATCTGTTTATGTTTTCATAAGCAGTATGTGATTGCTTCAGCTGCTCCACATTCTTCCAGTACTTGGTGTTGCTGGCCACTGTTAAATAATCGAAATATACAAATGTATTTTCATAGTATTGTTGTAATGTAACTATATGTTTTCTAGGGAAAGAGTGTTATCAGTGGGGGTTTAGATGCCTTAGAATACATTGGGAAAAAGACAATGGATGTAATAGCAGAAGGGGATCCTGGATTTAAAAGAACCAAGGGTCTGATGAACAGAAATTCTACGTTATCTCAGGTACTGTTTTCCTTACTGGCTTGATTTCCATTTCTGTTTTGATTTATATTTTTGCCTTTATTCTGGGACCTTGTTAGTGTTTTCTTTTGAAGAACTTTCAGGGTTTTTTTTTTTTTTTTGTAATTAAGGATTTTTTGGGGAGCTGGGTAGAAGCTCTAATGCTTAGAAAAATGCCCAGATATTTTTTTGTTCCTCTTTTCTTTCTGAGTAGTTTCCTGTCAGTGCAGTGCAAAATGGTAGTCCCTGTCAGAGTTGTTTATTAGATTAATGATTAAACCACTTTTGAAGAAACACCTGGTTCCTTGGGTATTATTTACATTGTCTAGCATCAAACTATGTGTGATAGTTTGTTTTTTTCCTAACGCTCCTGAGCCTACTGGATTTGAATTCCAGTGCCAATAATGAAAAGGCAGTACTGTGTACTGAAACCCATTTTAGTTTTGCTTCTCTGCACTTTTGAAACTCACCCTTGAGCTCTCATTACTTGCTTCAGTGTAATGCTTCCATCTCTTTTTAGGTTTTACGAGAGGCAAAGGAGAGAGAACTATGGACCGCCAATGAGGTAACCATGGAAACAAACAAGAAAACTCATTATGGGCTATTCTTTGATGAATTTCAAGGCCTCTCACATCTTGAAGCTCTGGAGATGCTTTCCCGAGAAAGTGAAATAAAGGTAATTCCAAACCAAGTCTTCAAACAAAGGAATGTTGTGTAGTTTCTTTTCTCTTTTTACATTTGGAAGATGAAATGTATTTCTGACAGAGGCTTGGGACTCTGGAAGTACTATAACAGAATAAGCAAAAAACTAATGTTTGTACTAACAGTTAGAAAAAAATAGAATGAGTCAAGTGTTATTTCTCTAAAATTATACGAAAAAGGATGGAATAACAGGTCTTAGTAGCACATTGGTTATTTTTCTTTCATCCCATCTTTTATTTATTTATTTTTCTTAAGAACAGCTTCTTTGGCTTCAACTGCCAAAACTTTTTGACTTAAGCTGCCAGTTTGTATACAATTACCTGTTAGCTTTTAACTGATTTAAGATTATTTAATTTCCCCTGTTTTTTGCTAAGCAGTACTAATTTCCATATATTTCTTGTCTATATTACCTTTGGAAGTACAAATTCTCCCTACCTTCCTGTAATATAGCCTCTTATGTTAAGATTCTTAAGAAATAGCTTGTGTTGGTTGGTGAGCTCATAATTCTGACCTATAGTCTTTCTCCATGTGAGTTTTTTTTCCTTTAAACTCCCACAATTTTTTATTATCTTATATTCATTAAGGTGAAAGCTATCCTTAATTCTCTGAGTGGAGAAGAATTAGAGACTATAACACTTGAATTAGAACAACTCAAAGAAGCATTTTCCCTAGCAGAATTTTGTGAGGAAGAAGAAGAAGAAAAAAAAGGTAATACGAAAATTCATTATCTGAGTGGAAGGATGCAATGTGTTTGTATGCAGTGCTTTTCCCCTGAAATAAATTTGCTTTGTATTCACTCTAGTCTGATTTTATCTTTTTCAGTGGGAATTTTCATGCAAAATCATCTCTGGCTTTCCCTCTGGTAGGCATTGCATTGGACAAGTTGGCTTGTTGTCCATGTCTTGTCGTTTCCCTGACAGACTCTGTAGCTTCTCCAACTCTAAACTTGCAACACACATCTCTGCTTAATTTTTTTCAGTTAGAGAGTTGCAGTTACCAGATCCTTTCCTTAGTTTGACTGGTAATCCCTATGAGCCTTTATATCTCTAGCTACTTCATGTCCTGTGACCCCTCACTCCATCTTGAATTGAGATGTGCAAGTGGCAGTTACCTAAAATGTGGTAGTTTGTCTTTTTGATTTCACAATTTATTATCTCTATCTCTTAGAAAATGTAAATGTTAAGACTGCTCATTTTTGCAAAATTATCAGGAAATGTGGTTTATGTAAAGCATAATTTCTGGGCAACTGAATCTAAACTCTAAGGGTTGTTTTATTTTTAGCATTTTACTTGGAAATATTTCTAAGATATATTTCTGTACTCGCTGGTGTTTTAAGGCAGTGGAATCTAATGATACAGTTTTGCTTTTTCTTGGTGAAACAGTTATAAACATTAAAATTGAATAAAAATATTACCCCAGGGTTCATCAAGACATAGAGGACTAATCATTAAGTTGATGGTTCACAAAGTATGGTCTAGAGATCCTTCAGTCCCTGACACCCTTTATGGGAGTCCATGAGTTCAAAACTGCATCATAATATCAAGGTATAATTTACTTAAAATTTTTTATTTTTCATTGTGTCATAATTTTCATTGATGATGAAAAGCAGCCAAGGATAAATTTTGGGTGCTGTAATAAGAATCAAATCAATAGCACCAAATTCTAGTGTCATTTTATTTTCTCTGCTATGTACTCACGGTTAAAAAAGTGTCAATTTCATTTAACTTTGTCCTTGATGGAGTAAAAACTATTAATGTTATTAAATCTTGACTCTGAGGTATACTTTTTAATATTCTATGTAATACATACTGAAGTATGGTGGTTCTCTCAGGAAAAGCACTTGTATTGTTTGAGCTGAACTACTTGCTTTTGTCATGGAACATCATTTTCACTTAGAAGTATAAATAGTCATACAGACTAATCAGAATAGAATATTTGGTGGTACTAGGGTTTGAACTTTGGACTATATCACTTGTGCCAGGCCTCCAGTTATTTTGGAGATAGGGTCTTGCTTTTTGTGCTCATGCCATCCTGAATTGTGATCCTCCTATTTTATTTTTGCTGCCCTTACTGGGATGACAGGCTTGTGCCACTGTACCCAGTTTTTTTCTATTGAGATGAGGTTTCACTGTTTTGGAACATTGATCCTTCCTATCTCAGCCAGTGTGTAAGTTGGGATGACAGGTGCCCACCACTGTGCTCAACTATTGATTGAGATGGGGGTCTCCTGAACTAAGGTTTGCCCTGGATAACCTTGAACCAGCATCCTTCCCATCTCAGCTTCTCAAGTAGCTAGGATTACAGGCGTGAGCCATGGGCTCCTGGCTTGGTGAATACTTCTTGAAAATAAATGAGATGAACCTTTATTTCATGTCAAAAATTCAAACTAAGTCAAAGTTATAATTTTGTAGGATGAATTTATTGCTGTGGTGACCTTTTTAGCTTCCAGTGCTGTTTAAAGACTGATAAAATCTGTGGCAATAGTAACAGTTATGTTCATTTTTAGATGTTTTAAAATGAAATGTCTCAGCATTTGGAAAATTTGCAGAATTCAAAGAATGAATATTTTCCCATTGACCAATGTGTGATGTTATAAAATCATGTTCAGGGAAAAGATAGACAATGGATTTTAATTCAATATATATAACCAAAAGCAAAACATTTTTTTTTACTTAAAATTTATTTTTAAAAGTTGTGGTAAGATACATATAACATTTACTATTCATTGTTTTTAAGTGTACAGTTCAGAGGCAGTAAGTTCATTCTCAATTGTTTTGCCATCATCATTGCCATCTACCCACAAAACTCTTTATCCTCCCCAACTCAAACTATACCCATTAAACAGGTCCCCATTGCTCCTCCCTCCAGCCTCTGGCAGTTGCCATTTTACTTTCTGTCCCTATGAATTTGACTTTCTAGGTAGCTCATATGAATGGGATCATATAATAATATATTATTTTTTATGATTTTTTTTTCTATTTTTTGAAAACTTTTTAAGCATATATTTGTTATACAGGGGTTTCATTGTGACATTTACATATGTGCTCATCCCCCCCTTCTTAGAACAGGTTTCATTGTTCTCTTTTCATATGCGTGTACAAAGTACAACAACCACATTCCCCCTCCTTCACCCTCTCTGTTTACCTATGCCATCTTGTCCCATCTTCCCTAATGCAAAACTTTATGACATATGTTCAGGCTCATTGCAATATAGGTCATTGCAGCTAACCTTTAAGAAATGACTGCTTACACCACCAACAACAGGTGTTGGCGAGGATGCTGGGAAAAAGGAATCCTCTTACACTGTTGGTGGGAATGTAAACTAGTACAACCACTCTGGAAAAAAATTTGGAGACTACTTAAAAAGCTAGACATCGATCCAGCAATACCACTCTTGGGGATATACCCAAAAGACTGTGACACAGGTTACTCCAGAGGCACCTGCACACCCATGTTTATTGTGGCACTGGTCACAATAACCAAGTTATGGAAACAGCCAAGATGCCCCACCACTGACGAATGGATTAAGAAAATGTATTTATACACAATGAAATTTTATGCAGCCATGAAGAAGAACGAAATGTTATCATTCACAGGTAAATGGATAGAACTGGAGAACATCATTCTGAGTGAGGTTAGCCTGTCCCAAAAACCAAAAATCATATGTTCTCCCTCATATGTGTGGACATTAGATCAAGGGCAGACACAACAAGGGGATTGGACTTTGAGCACATGATAAAAGCGAGAGCACACAAGGGAGGGGTGAGGATAGGTAAGACACCTAAAAAATTAGCTAGCATTTGTTGCCCTTAACGCAGAGAAACTAAAGCAGATACCTTAAAAGCAACTGAGGCCAATAGGAAAAGGGGACCAGGAACTAGAGAAAAGGTTAGATCAAAAAGAATTAACCTAGAAGGTAACACACATGCACAGGAAATTAATGTGAGTCAACTCCCTATATAGCTATCCTTATCTCAACCAGCAAAAACCCTTGTTCCTTCCTATTATTGCTTATACTCTCTCTACAACAAAATTAGAAATAAGGGCAAAACAGTTTCTGCTGGATATTGAGGGGATGGGGGGGAGAGGGAGGGAGCGGAGTGGGTGGTAAGGGAGGGGGTGGGGGCAGGGGGGAGAAATGACCCAAGCCTTGTATGCACATATGAATAATAAAAGAAAAAAAATAAAAAAGGATTATGAATGATGAATTTATAATCCTTGAAATAAACTCACTAAATTTTTTATTTCAAAAAAAAAAAAAAAGAAATGACTGCTTATTGAGTTTTGGTGTAGTGTTAAAGTATATATATTTATAAGGCTAATCTTTACTACTAATCTGAGAAGACTATTAAAATACGTTTCCATATACTTCAATATCATATCACAACAGTGTAAAAGCAGATAAGAGAATACAGTTTAATCTTTCATTAAGTTAAAGAAAATTAACAAAGGTGTAAAAACAGTGGCATTTTTCTCACTGTAATTTTCCTTTTTTAGAAAACATACTTAAAAATAAGGTATGTTAATAAGTAGTGAGTTTATTTTTAGTAAATAAATATCTTAAACATTTCAATTTTAGTTTTTAATAAAAACAATCTATAGCTGTATAACTTAAATTTAGAAAAGCATGTTAGGGATTCTCAAAAGATTTTTTAAGAGTATACAGAGGTCCTAAAACTAAAATATATGAGAACTGCTAGATTAAATTTTCCCAGACTGCAGTGCTTTTAAAAATGTCTGGTTGCTTTTTAGATCTGTGTACCTTTATTTCCTTCTATGTGTTTATCTGTGTACCTTTTACTTAACTACCATGGAGCTTGCCTCCTTTGACAACCTCTGAATCCCATTTGTTTTTTTATTTCTAATCTAATATGAATGGAAAACCAAATAACAAGTCTTATTCATGTTTTCTGCTGAAAGAGCCAGAAACTCTTGAGTTGAGGGTCTTAAGGTCTTTCTTGTGTGAAAAGGACATAAAGTTGAATGTGGATTTTTCTGGAGACTGGGACCTTTTTTTTTTGGTTGTATTCGTTTTCTGTAGTCAAGCTGGCTGGTTATATAGCATCTTGTTAAATGACACCTTACTCTTACTTTGTGTAAAGGTTCTCTGTTCTTGATAAGAAATTGTTTTTTAATTAGGAATCATTTATAGTACAAGGGAATTTGATTGTGATTATTTCATAGACGCATACAATGTACTTTGAACAAGTTTATTCCCTGTCATATTCCCTTAACTCTCCTGTTCTTCCCCACTCCCTTTTAAAAGCAGTATTTATTGTTTTTTCATTCTTTCTTCATATATATATAATGCATTTCAATCTTATTCATGTCCCAGCACCCTGTCTTCTCCCCATTCCCTTGTCCCACTGATTCCCACCTCTAACAGTTCCTCTTTTACGCTTACGACCCATTATTGTTGCGATTATCATTTTAGACCTAGTTTCTGCATGAGTGAAAACACACGGTGTTCGGCTTTTTTGAGAGATCAGCTCATTTCACTCCGTATAATGGTCTCCAGTTTCATTCATTTTCTTGCAGATGACATAATTTCCTTCTTTGGAGTTGAATAATACTCTACTGTGTATATATTTTTATATTACATTTTCTTTATTTATCAGTCATTGGGCACCTGGGCTAATTCCACAGTTTGGCTATTGTGAATAGTGCTGTGATCAACATGGATATGCAGGTATCTGTCGTGTATGTTG